GCATATCCCGGTTACTTGAGCAAATGCTTTTTGTCGATCACCCCTACGAGTTCCAATCATCCAGCCGGTAGCAATTAAGGATGTATTTTGGGAGCCATTACTAAGATCCACATTAAAAAAGCAGTCTCTTTTTGACAACGATAACTCTGAGGAGTTACTGTAGGAGTTCCGATCGCATATTCTTTTTCTGAACTGCGTCCTGGAACTCGTCTAATCACCTCTATTGACAACTCAATTTCTCGAATTAACCTTATCTTTTTATAGCCTGGTAAACAGCTGTATTTTAGCCTGGTGATTGTTATGTATGCAAAACAGAAGGCTAATTGGAAATAGGACGTGTACTGAGTACGATAGACAGCACAAGTGAGGAGGCTTGTGGAAACGGCCGGGTATATGGCAAGGGGGACCGTCATAGGCTGATGGGTGGCCAATCAGAACAAAGGCGGTGTGAACAGGGGGCCATGACCTTGATCGTTCGCTTGTCACGCGTTTGTGGCATGATGTCCTGACGGCCCGGGCAGGATACGCTGCGTCCCTCCACCCTAAAGAGGAGAGCATGAGGGGGAGGGGAGGGGAACAGTATAGGTAATAGTGGATTATCAGACAATGTTCTAATAAGATTCGTCCTGAAAGCGTTGGACAGGTTTGCGGTTTCGGGTCGATCTTCTCAGGGCGGTATTTTCTACCTCTGCGCCGCTTTGTGCAGTCACTGGCTCCTCTGCCCCCAAGCTAGTGCTGGCCGGGGTAGAAGGAGGTGGAACATAAGCCTCGGTGGATGGCGTAGTGCCCTGTTCAGGTAGGAGCTCAGTCCTCGGGATGTCAGGATCCCTATAAAGAGTTGCTGGCAGTTCTAACTCTCCGAATTCTCCACTTACTGTGTCCGTTCGGCTGCGAACTTGGTCCAGATGTCGACGCACAATTCTCCCACCTTCTAACTCTAATTCCACTATTTGACCCTCGCTTTTTCGAACTGCCGCTGGACACCAGTTCGTTTCGTGTTCCAGTCGCGTGTAGACACTTTCGTTGGGCGCGACGACTCGTGGTCGGGTGCTCACATCATATCGTTCTTTCATCTTCGTCTGTTTTGCAATGACTCTATCCTGCGTTGATGGATTAAGCAGGTCGAGTCGTGTGCGCAACTGCCGCTTGAACATCAATTCTGCAGGCGAAGCACCAGTTGAGTCGTTCGGTGTTATGCGATAGCTGAACAGAAAGCGTGACAACTTGGTGGCCAAGTCCGCTTCTGTCTGTCTGGCTAGTCCGTGCTTTAGTGTTTGGTCTGCACGCTCTGCGAGGCCATTTGAAGCAGCGTGGTACGGGGCAGTAGTTAAATGTCTAATTCCATTTTTCTCCATAGGATCTTTAAATTCTGCACTAGTAAAGGCCGGGCCATTGTCTGAAACGACCATTTCAGGTATCCCAAAAGTTGAAAAGACGGTTCGCAACTTGTTGATTGTAGTCAGTGAGGAACAAGAATTTCCTGTCGGAATCGCATCAATCCATTTAGTGTGGGCGTCAACTACCACCAAAACCATATGGCCTTGGAATGGCCCAAAATAATCGACGTGTACCCTCTTCCACGGCGAGTCGGGCCAGGCCCAAGGCTTCAGAGGAACCTTCGGTAAGGTCTTCTGTGTTATTTGGCACACGTGACATGCTTTCACCACGTTTTCTATATCTGCGTCAATTTTGGGCCACCAAACATAGCTGCGGGCGAGAGCTTTCATTCTAACTGTACCAGGATGAGCATTATGCAGGTCTCTGAGGATGGCCCGTCGGCCTTGTGGTGGCACCACTACACGATTGCCCCATAGTATGCATCCGTCTTGTAGACTTAACTCGTTCTGACGGCTGAAGAATGGTTGAAAATCAGAAGAGGTAGAGGACGGCCAGCCAGATTGTAAGGCTCTTTTTACCCGACTTAGGAGAGGGTCTCTCGATGTCCACTGTCGAATTTGTTGACAGGTTACAGGCGCGTTGACTAGATTCTGCAAAAGATTCACGGTCTCAAAAACAGGTGCCCCGTTAATGCCATCGTCCACGATAGGAAGCCTACTCAAGGCGTCAGCCACTACGTTTGCACTACCTGTAACGTATTTCATTGCATACGTGTAAGCAGATAAAGTGAGTGCCCATCGTTGCATTCTTGGCGAGGACATCTGTTGTATCCCTCGTTTTTCTCCCAGCAAACCTAAGAGGGGTTTGTGATCAGTGTGAATTTCAAAGTGTCGGCCAAAAAGATACAGGTGGAACCGATGTAGGCCAAACATTATTGCTAAGGCCTCTTTGTCTAGTTGCGAATAGTTGGTTTCCGCCTGTGACATGGTTCTTGATGCAAAAGCAATCGGCATCTCCGAACCCGAAGGCATTCGATGCATGAGAACCGCACCTACGCCGTACGGAGACGCATCACATTTCAGTATGATAGGCTTTTCGGGGTCATAGTGAACTAGGACAGATGAGGAGGTAAGAGCCGCCTTTGCCTGTTCGAAAGCACTTTGTTCGACCTCCGACCAGTGCCAGCCACAATTCTTTTCAAGTAGTCGATAAAGAGGCTTGAGAATTGTAGCCGATTGATTCATAAAGCGACTAAAGTGGGTGACCAACCCCAGGAATGAACGCAATTGACTAGTATTGTTGGGGCGCGGCGCCGTCTTCAAGGCTTTGAGCTTATGTTCGAGTGGATGGAGGCCAGTTTTATCCACCCTGAAGCCCAGGTATTCTACCGAGTCGGCAAGGAAAGTGCACTTATCTTTCCTGA